GTTTGCCATGCGACAGTAGTCAGTAGTTTGGACATTTTTATGAAGTCTTCCTCAACATTTTGGTATTAGAATTTTCGTCTCCAAATGATCTCAGGACTACCATTAAAATTATTAATATCTTTATATATTAATAATATATATAAAAAAGTAGATTTTTTTGGCAAAAAGTAGTTAGCCTAATTTGAATAAACCAAGTTACGAAGGGAAAATATTTTTGGGGAAATATTTGTCGCTTATTATGTACGTGGATTATATATCCCTTGAAGCTGGTAAGCTAGAATCCACCCGCTGATGGCGAATTAAACTTGGCCCAATGGCTATGCATGATATGCGAGGGCTCTCGTGCTCCCGGCGCATTCCGTATTAGATTTGCATTCGAGCTTCGTGGCTCCAAAGACTCCTGAACTCTTTCAAAAGCCTCGGAAATCAATCGAATATCACGGAAGACTATCCGATCGGAACTCTTTTTTCGCGATCCGGTCAACTTCCTGGCTCTCCGTCTCTAGACTTGCAAACTTGAGGAATCCTAAATTCTTAAGCGGTAGAGAGAGAAAGAATACTTTGGAATCTCGCATTAAATGCAACCGGAAAATTTCGAAAAAGATTTTTTTTTATTCTCCCTGAATTCGAGAAATCAGAAAATCTTTAAAAATTGCCAAATTTATCCTTCAATGTTGAATTAATGACCCTAGGCTTGAAATTTTAAATTGCCAAATTTTGGGAGATACAGCGATTAGCTCGCGATCGAGCTCGGTATCGAGGCTGATTGCGAGAACTCCAACTTAACGAGTATAATACGTGTCAAAGTTCTCTCAAAGCGGCTGCACCTGCAGCTCGGTATACGAGCGCAGGGCCTGAACTAGGCGGCAACTTGCCGCTAACTTGCCGGCAAAGTGCATGATCCGGAGCTGGCGCTAAACTATGAGAAGGAAACGAGCTTACTCGCTTACTTACTTATATAACCCGGAAACGTCGTAGTTTGAGCATTTTTCCTCCCTCCAGGATCCAATCTTGATCTCTGGAGGTTATTGATACTTTCTGATCTCGCGTAAAGTGAAATGTACAAGAGATTTCATCTATAGTCAAAAAGAAACATATCTTAATAGATACTTGTATTAAACTAATAATAAAAATAATAATAAAATAATAATAAAAATAAATTTTTATTATGTTTTATTAAATAATTCTTGACTGGTTTTTCTTTGTTAGATATTAATATCTATAGGAAGGAAATGCGACATTATTATACGTCTATTTAGCTGATGCATAGTCAAAGTTTTATTGCAGTTGCGTCATTTTCGAAAATTCTACTCGAGCATCGAGAATGATCCGAGTTTCATGCGATGAAATTGGAATCTACTTAGGCGAGGACTACACTTAACCCATTTGCCCTCTCGCATCAACCATCTCTTAACCTTTATTGCGACTTTCTTCAAAGATGCTCTACGAAATGCATCGAATTGCAAAAGTAGGCCGCTGCCTCGCAGAGTGCATGAAACTGCCGTGTGTGTCGTTGTCGAGTTTTAGAAGATTCCAAGTGCTTCTACTCGGTGAAAGTCGGTATTAAAAGTGACAGAGGTCATCCGAGTAGTGGATATTAAATTATATGAAAAGTCATTTAAAACATACTTATTTATCGATTAAAATTTTTTTAATAAAATTTACGAGAATATTTAAAAAAAAATTATAAACTAGAAATCTTGCAGAATTTCCCAAATTTCTTGCAATCTTACAGAGCGAGTAAATGTGTAACTTTTTCCAATTGAAATCGCATACATAGAAAAATATAAGTGTCAAATCAATACTTAAACTAACGCGTTTATCGTTTCGTATAACGCACAATTTGTAATCTTCTTAGAAGAATTTAATAATTTTAAATATTATATTAAATATTAAATATTATATATATATATATATATATATATATATATTTATAATAAATTTAAAATTATTATATATATATGTATATATATATATATATACATATATTTAATAATTTTAAATTTCAACAATATTATAGTCTTATTTTAATATTGTAATTGTCATCTCAAGAATATATAATTATTTAATTCCATTTTAGAAAATTATAATTTTAAGAAAATTATCTTTGATTGAAAAATATTATTTTTTATCCAACGTTGTTTCTTTTCCATTCAAGAAAATTAAATCATAAGAACATATTTTTCATGATTGAATCATATAAAATGACTTCATTCAAGTAAGCAATTATCCAAGAAAATATATTTTTCTATAATTAACGCAATATAATTTATTTCGAAATTTAATGTTAAAATAAAACTAAATATATTTTAAAAACAAGAGAATATCCTTTCTTCTGTACATTCGAAAATTGCCGAACTTGCCGATCGATGATTTTAGAAATGAAATCACAATCCGCGGTACAAACGAGCGTTTCATCCGACAGATTCTAGGAGTCTTGATCTTGATGAGAGAGAGAGAGAGAGAGAGAGAGACGGGGGCGGAGGGCGGGTGGAGAGACGAGGGCGGTTTGAATGAGTTTTCCCGGAAACGCGTTGAATCGATTAAATGCGGGGCCGGCGGTCGGTTGATTGAAATATCGAGTAAAAGCCGGGGCCGACTCCGCACCTGAGCCGCCGTATCCGTGTTGCGGGGAGAGTTTGCTCGTTACGAAGAAGAATCGTTACGAGGAAGCGTTAAACTATCGCTTAATAGTCGGCGGGTTTCCGCGGCGGGGACCGCTTACATAACGGCCATATTTACGAACAACGTAAGGGGAGGGAGAATCGGGGGGCGGGATCCCTCCCCGAGAAAAATTAAAACCCTGTACCGTGTCTTTACGACTCGGCTGGATTAATAATTCAACGTCGCACCCCCGTGAGTGAACTTTGGATCTTTAATCGTTCCCCTCTTCATCCCTTTAGTCGCTTCAGACGATGATCGATAACCGGAAAGCCGATGATTTCATCTCCTGCATGTTTATAAAATATTTTCGAGATGTATGCAGGACGTCGCACATAACTGTGCACATTTAAAGTTCTAATTCGAGAAACGTTTTACATCACTATCGAAAAATATTAATTAAAATTCTGATGACGTACAATCATTGTCTTATTATTATTATCAGGTGTTATCTGGTGTCTTTTCGGCACCCTCTCTTTCTCCCTCGTGAAATAACATACAGATCACGCATAATATTCTCTCGCGAGAGGAACTAGGAGTATTTCTTTTTCCTTTTTCAACGCATAGAAATTTTAAGGAAAAGAGATGGGGAGAGAGACAGAGAATGTGTTATCACTTCCTTCATTATTATTTCACAATCCCTATTCGAGCGTTTCGAGCCGTTTCTCGCAGCGCTTCCGATTGCGAGCGGGAAGAAAATAGAGAGATGGAAAGAGAGAGAAGGACAGAGAGAGAGAAAGAGAGAGAGAGAGAGAGGATTGCAGCGGAGCGAGGGAAGGGAGAGAGGCGCGGAGATATTGATTTTGCAGCAACACACAAACCGGCGGCGGTCGCATTTCATAGCCTACCAGACGTAGCCAGACGCACGTTCGACGTGCTACGTTAAAAAGCTGAAGAGAGTCCCTCGGCCGGAAAGGCCAGACGAAGGCTAAGGCCTCCGATAAGCCGCGGCCTTCGACCGTCGACCTTATCACCCCTGAGGTTTTAGGCTTTATCAAGGTTTACAGGTCGACGAATACGCGCCCGGATCATCTGGATGATTGTGAATATATGTCAGCCTTTACATCGCTTCTATATAAAGATCCTGCAGGATCGTATATATATATTAAGGACGTTTTGTACCTATTTTAAAAATATTGAGAATTTAATAAAAATTGTACAGAATGTCCTTACATATGTTTAGAATCTTCAGTACAATTTTTAAATCGATTCACTAAAGCGTTCACTAGTTATAAGGATTTTAATTTGCATCGAATTAACGTGTATTCTTATGGGAAACGTTTAACCACGTCGATTTAAATGACAAAAACACATGGAAATAATATTCAGAATTTGTTGAAAGTTTGTAAAAGATACAGAGGAAATATTTGGTCAAATAATATTATACAAGTACTAACTGGTTAAAAAGATATTAAATATTCAGTGAAGTTAGCCATGTACCTGTCACAAGGCGAAATTCTCTGCCAAAAGTTAATCATTTCGATTAACAAAATTCGGAATATTTCAGTAAAAACGCAATAAATATTAAAAAATACATCTCTGCATTGTAGCTAATTGTAAGATCAAATTGTAATATTCCATACAATTTCTTACTCAAAATACACCAAAAGTGGATATATTCGTCAATATTGATTTTCAGCTACTTTTTACTGGGATTATTCATACAATACATCCTTAATCGCACCTGGATTTATTTAAATGAAGGGTAAAAGAATTATCCAAAAAGAAAGAAGAAATTCGTAATTGTGAAATTTTAATTCTTCTTCGCGCTTTCACGCGGGGGTTTCGTCTGTGTAAATATTTCGCGAGTAAAAGGATTTTCCAAAATTCCGCAATTGCTTCGGGCTGAAGTGAATGGAAAACTGCGCGTGAAAACCCTCGTGAAACGGGAGTCAATTCCTTCGCTCACGGCCGCTGTTGTTTCCCAGAGTGACTGGGAGCTTGTTTGACCACACTGTCGGACACTGGTGCGACAGTGATGCTGTAAAACGCAACGGGCGAGACACGGGGGCTTTATTAACGAACGCGTGACGCGGCGATACGCGCCATTGTTTCGCTGATACGCGCGATGTAATACAAATCGCGGCATAATGGAAGAATAGCGGCGCAGAAGTCGATGCCCGTCGCTTTATCGCTTTATTATAAACGTCAGGCACAAAAGGGATTTGTGAGCGGAGAGACCGTTCTCTGTTACTGGCGGAAATTTCCATCCAAATGACGCGCCGCCACGTCAGTGAGCGCGACGCTTTGTCATCCCCTTTTTTTCCCCTTTTTTCCCCCTTTTTTTTTATTTTTCGTATAGGTACGGATTTTTTTTTCTTTTTTTTTCTTTTTTTTTGACAGAGAGATATTTTTTCATATATGCGTTTAATTCCTCAAAATGCACATTTTCACCGGGAACGAGGGAAGCGCTTTTACATAATGGCGAATATTTTTCGACGTTTATCGTCCTCTTCTTTCTCGCCGAGCTTGACGTTTGAAGAGAGACGCGACGGAAATATAATGATATTTTATAATAAAGTTCATCTGCATCCGTTTCATCGAGGTTCTTTTAGCTCTCTAAATTACATCACGTTGAACAAAGGCAATTAAAGCGAAGGAAAAATGTATTACGGGCAACAATCGATATCATCAGGATTGTCGGCAGGAGGGATGATTACAGTCGATCAGGGGAAATCGCGTGATCAAAGGCCGGCTGGTAAGCGAAACACGTACCTTCCGTCAACAGAGATGCTGGTTCGCTTTGACGAAGCCCTTGTCGATATCCTCGCCATGGACAACGTGATGACTTCGTCCACATAGCAATCGACACGGATCCTCCGATCACGTTGGGGTTGGAGACGAAACATCCGTCGACGAGACAACAAATCTGCGACAAAATTTCAATTGATAAGCATGGATTTTGCAATTCTGTTCAGCATTGTTTTATTAATCGCACGTCGTTTTTAAGATTGGAAAAAGTGACGCCTATTGAAAAATTATCGAGCTCTCTCAAATCGATTATCGGCTAAAAAAACACTTAGCGGGCCATTTCGACGCTAATAGACAGACGCTTTAGAAGGTCGACGAAGCGGAACTAAAAAGGAGCTAATTATCAACAGCTCTTTGTAATAAATAAGAACAAAAAGCGTGAAAACTCGTGACTTTTCCATTTTCGAAAGAGCTTTAAATACTAAAAAATTATTGGAAAAGAAATTGTTTGAAAATTAATAATTAATAATTAATAATTAAATATTTTTTTTTATTTCATCATTCGTTGAAATATAATAAAAAATTGCAAAGTAACATATAAATCTCTATGTGATGGAAACCCTTTTGTTCAGTTTCGCGAATTAAAAATTCGAAGGATTCCAGAATGTGGGTATGTGCCAGGAGATCGAAACATGTTTTTCGTCCATATTTCTCTGTAGATCTGCAGAGATCCTTCGCGCATCTAGATGGTAATAAATCGTCGCTCGCGTGATGAGGCCGGCGGACTCTATTAAAATAAAACTACCGGGTGTGAGAGAATCACGGGTTCATTCGCTCGCGATGCGATGAGTCGTGAACGCGCGCGGCGAACCGGAAGTGCTGGACCAGCGCCAGGAATCGAAGCTGCGCGCGTGTCCCGACAGATTTGTTGATGCTTTCTGATGTTGCCGACAAAAGGATCGAGAGCGAGCCCCTCAAAATGGTGGATCGAGGAGGTCCCCGTTGATTTATTTCCCGTCGATACGCCGGCCGTTGTTTATCGTTTACCTTGAGGATGCAACCCGCGCAAACTCGGCCGGATGCGGCGATCCATTTTCCGTCGCGAGCGGGATGCGAAATGACGGTAGGGAGGATCGTGAAAAATAGCTGCAATAAATAAATGAATAAATAAACGGAGTATGTGTTCTTCGCAAAATGCAACGTGTAAGAAACTGCGATATTTCGCGGAGCAAATTTGTTGGATAACCACTGCAAAGTGATTTTTAATTTTTTTTCTCGGCCCCTCTCTCTCTTTCCTCAAATTTACGTTTGCTCCTTTAGATCATTATTTTTCTACATGATGGGAAATTATTTTCTAGATTGGTTTAGAAAATAATTAAACGCCTAAGAAAAATTATCTAATGCAAAACAATAGAATTATTATCTAATGATCAATTCAAATATGTGAATTTTATTAACAAAAATAAAATGAATAAACCATATATATTTAACAAAGGGATCAGTATTATAATTTATATAAATTAATAGAGAAACATACTTATGGACATTAACGAGAAGATAAGAGAAAGGGCTAAAATTTTTTAAGAAAAGATGTAATATTATTTCATAAAAAATATTTAGAAAAATGTTTGTTGTACAATAAAAGTGAAGGCGCGTGTCAATTTTGATCTTTACTAAATCTTTATCTAAATTCATATGGAAAATAAATCAACGTCGGATTAGATCGGAGCAAAGATGTTGTCGAAAGTATAAAAGTCATCCGCTTTTATTCCCATCCTCAATCACAGTGTATCAAGGTGCATCCCTCTTTCGTTCAGCCCTGTTCTTGTTCTCCGACTGCCACCTTTCGTAATTTGCCGACTCGGCAATCTTTCTCTGATCATATATATAGTATAGTTTGAATTTACTGCTCGATCTGGAAGCTGCCAACTTTTACGACACGGATAAAGAAGCGTGCGGTGATGTCCTCCGACACTTTCAAGCTCTGTAGATGTGCCTCCACTATTTCGACGTACGTGTCGTAAAACTTTTGCAAATATTCTCTGATGAATTCTCGGAGATGACTTTTCCTTCGAGGAGAATTGTATTATATCTGCGGCGCAATTACGAGGACATTTGACGTGGAAAATTGAAGGAGAAATTTCAAGTGCAACTGAAGTGACTTCTTTCTTCAAATAATTTCAAATTTGAATATTTTCACGACTGCAATTTGGAAAAAGTTTGAATTCCAAAATTTCCTGGCCCGAAGTTTCAACATATTTTTATCAGAAATTAATCTAAATTAATTGGAGCAAATTTGAGTTACAAACAATATTTTACAAAAAATATTTTAAAATGACGGATGTTGAAGATAAACTTTGAGAAATGAGAAGCAAATTCTTTTTTAACTGGTACAGAAATGTGTGGGTTTTTAAAAGGCTCATTTATTTCCTAATCAATTTATATTTTTAAAAGGCTCATTTATTTCCTAATCAATTTATATTTCAATCAATTTTCTACGATCTTTTTTGATAAAGTTATATCGGTTTGAGGGAAAGGCTAAACAAATATTCTTTCAATTAATATCACGTAATATTTAAGCAAAGCGATCATTGATTAAAGAATAGAATTAGATCGGCGGGGTCTCGACAAAAGTTCATTCGGTTCATTGTATCGAGTGTCGCGACACATGTACGTTAGATCGTTGCCTGGAAACCTCCTGGAAATGCGTAGCGAGGCGGAAACGTTGAAAAAGGGTGCGCGGCAGCCAATTTTTGTGAGTGCATCTTGAAATAATCATAGCTCCCGTAAGTGGAGTTCCTCGTATCCGCCATATTCTGTATCGCACATATCGCCAATTCAAAGGAAACTCCCTACACCACTTCGCTCTACACAATATTGCAGAAACTTTCTAAAACTATCATTATATATATCGCGTTATGTGTATATATATAAATTTATATCCTTTGAGCAAACTTGCGTAATTATGCTCCGCGAGAAATTACAACAGTCTTGCTTTAACAGTGTCGCTGCGTAACATAATGCAGGATAATAATAAATACCGGATATTGTTATGCAAGTGAAGAGGCGTCCTCATGATTGGGAACGCCGGGAATTCTGGAGTGGGAGGGGGTTAAATCGACTAGGGCATTGAATCCCGGAGCTCAGAGAAATCCGGGCGCGAATTTTCCGGGCGATTCCTTTATCTGCGCGGCTTTTACATCAGAATTACAAACAATCGCCCCGAGAATGCTTTTTAATCCCGGCCAATAAGCGATCGGGCTCCTTCCAGCGCCTCACAGCCGGGTTGAAGGAGTCCTTATCCCCCTTTCATCCCTCGCTAGAGTCCGATCCCTTTTACGTTCTTGCCCTCCTACCCTCCTTCCTTCCCTTCCTCGTCGCTCTTTCTTACCCTTTCACTCTCCCGAGACCACTGATGGCGATGCTCGACTCTCTCGTCGCTTTTTAAAACAATCGGCGCTCGTAAACAACGTCATTCTCAGCCCTTTGTTTCCGTCGCCATCTTGCAGCGTGCTGCAGTTAACGCAGTGATTGTTGCTACAATTATTTTTATTGCTCGCGTATTTCCGGCGGCGTAATTTCGGAAATTCATTCATTTCGAAATAACCGTATAATCTGCAACGTTTGCGCGTTTCATTCCAATTTCAGCAACAAATGTTTATTTTGCGTTAATTCTGTCGCACATGTGTACATTTGAGAGACCTCAACCAAATTTTTCAATTATCATTGCGTGTATTAATTTATATTGTTATGCATTAGATTTTATTTTATTTGATATTTCATATTGAATATTTTAGAGATAAGGTGTCGCAAAATTTTATTTGTTAAACAAATATCTTTACCTCTAAATAGAATTATAATTATTCCACGAGAGCGATTTCATAAAAAGATATTTGTTTCCTGCTCACGTGTAATCGAGCGAATCGAGAAATTGTTATTTCCGTCGCTATTGTTGTTACTTCCAGACGACGAGAACGATCTGGCTGGCGGTCATTTTCGCGCGGGAGGGCTTTAAAGCCTTTGAAAGAGTAGACAATAGCTCTTAGCATGTCGGGGTCGGTTAGCGGCGAGTGCTAAATGGAGCTCGACGATTTAAGAGCGGCATGCAATCAAGCGAAACGCGATTATTTGTCGCGATGTTACGAAGTTCACGCGTTACGAGACTTGCGCGAAAGCGTAGCATTTACAGAGATACAGAATTCTGCGAGATAAATAGAATTTAGTTTCAAACTTGAGTTAGAAAAATTGAAATTAAACTTCCGAGATTTAAACTTAATTTCGCTTCATTAAGAGTCAAAGTCATTGAAAGTTAAAATATGCGCGGAAAATTTGTCACGGTTGCTTCCGTTTAAAATAACCATTGTTTAAGAGTGAATGGCGATTAATTGCTTAATTTTCCCTATTACATAATATTGTTTATATATACTTTATTAAATATTTTAGTTTTTTATTTATACTAAAGGTATAATTAAAGATAAACAAAATATTTGAATAAGCTTATAAGTTAAATAGAAATTATATATATATATATATATATATATATATATATATATATATAATTTATATTTAAAATATATATATAAATATATATATATATATATATATATATAATTTATAAATTAAATATATTAACAAAAGAATTTCCTCATTTATTTACATTTTAATGAGCTGTCATTTAATCGGATCTTTAACTCTCAATGCCGTTTCGTCCAATTCGCTGCTTAAATAAATCTCATCCTCTAAGAAGATTTCTTCAACGCTGAAATATGCCGCTTGTCTTTTAATTTTGACACGGCGATTTCAAAATCTCGTTTCCGTCGAGGGAATTAATAGCCGCTAGCTAGAAGGGGGGGAAGACAAGGGGATGTTTAACAGCGACGATTAAGCGACGTCGCATAAGAATGCATCCCGAGCGCATAATAATCTTGAACGATGCCTCATCGCGGCAATAAATGTCCCGCCGTCGTTGCTCTGAAGGGAAAAGGCGGATAAATTGAAATTACCCCCTGTATTCTCCCTCTTTTTCTCCCGCTCGAGGGGGGCAGGGGAAGGGGCTACAACGTACAATCTGCAAGCCCTTCATCGTCGGAGTTAAACCACGGTAAACAACGAGTAATGTCGGCGAGGGAAAAGGTCAGTCGCGATTTATTTCGTGGACGTCTTATCTTCATTTTCTTCATTTGATAGCGATAATTCAGCGCGCGAGCGCTTTTTACACGCTTATAATATCCTTCCCTCGAAGGGAGGGGGGGATAACGGGCTTCGATTATCGAAATATCTCGCGGGGAGGATTTATGGTAAAACTTTTTTTTTTAATTTTTTAAAATTTATTGCGCCATTTTCATACGCGGGACTGAAGTTCAACACGGACTGCGGTTTCTTGCGTGAGTTTGCACGCGGCTTTCATTAGCGAGAGTTGCCAGCCGGAAGGCAGAGCGGTTAAAGTTGGGAAGCTGATTGGAGTACCTTGGCGGTTTACCGCCCCCGCAGTCTCTCTCTCCCCATCTCTTTCTCCTTCCCTCTCGTCTTCCATTCTCTTCGATTGTTTTCTAACTTTTCGAAAAGTGCCCGCGCTCATTGAGCGCAGGACAAACAATTCCGTTGGAATTCAATGATCCTGTTTATTCTTGCAAAAGCTCACCGTCACAAAAGAAGAGCCATTGTTCGATCAACGTTTAAAAGATATTATTTTCTCCCGGATCGTTTTCTCAGGTTTTTCGAATGTCCGAAGAAGCTCCTCGGATCCTTCGGAAAATTCTGGCGCGCTGTCAAAATTCATATTTCCGATTCTGCGCTCGAATAGGTTCCCCGGCTACGCTAACGGAAGAAGAAAGAGGCAACCGTACCTGTCCCTTACGTCGAAATCCATATTTTCGAACTGGGACGCTCTATTTAATTTTGACAAATTAGGGAATCAATTTCATAACTTCATTTTAAGACAATTTAATTTGACGGCTCTTTTAGGGTTGAAAGGGTTAATCAGCGAAGAAAATTAACGGGCAATTTTTTTTTACAATAAAAAGATCCGCGCAAAGTTGGCGAGCTCGCGAAGGAGAGTCTCATCGATTTTACAATCTACCCCCTTCGCAGACTATTATCCCTCTTCCTCCTCCCGACTCCTCCCGATAACCCGACATCCTCCCCCTTACATGGTCGCGGGAGGAGATTCCTTTCTTTTTCTTAATATAGGTAGGTACGTCGCTGATTCGCAGTTAATGAAGCGAGAATGAACATCGGGGGGAAAAAGACACGTTTTGCAGAAATGGTGAAACGTGCGCCCGGAAATTTTCCAACGACGGTCGCCGAGGCAGGAATTTTTTTATAACTCACGCAAGCAAAAATTTCGCGCGCATAAATGCCGGCCAGCTTGAAATTATGTACCAAACTATGCTCGTGCCGCACTTTTCCCGCTTCTGCAATTGCAACTTTTTGCCCCGGTTACCCGGCGAAGTGCCCTATCGAGTGCAAGATTGGCCAATTTATTTCTTTGATTAAGTCAACGCTTGAAAAGTTTATTGAAAAAATATCTTAGCTCATTATTAATAAAACAATAATGAATAGAAAATTATTAATTAAATGCTTTGGTTAGGATTTGAGAAAATATATAAAAAATGGTTTGAAATATTCGTTGTCCACAGAAAAAAAGGATATTCTTGTTTTGAAAATATATTTAGTTTTAACATGAAAATCTTGAAATGAGATTATATTGCGTTAATTAAAGAAAAATATAATTGCTTGAATAATTGCTTACTTGAATGAAGCCATTTTATATAGTTTAATCAAGAAACATATATTTTATATGAGATTGTATTCCGTTAATTAAAGAAAAATATAATTGCTTGAATAATTGCTTACTTGAACGAAGCCATTTTATATAGTTCAATCAAGAAAAATATATTCTTATGATTTAAGATTTAATTTTCTTGAATAGAAAAGAAACAATGTTAGATAGAAAATAACATTTTTCAATCAAAGATTATAACTTTCTTAGAGTAGAATTAAATAATTATATATAATTAAGATGACAATTACAATATTAAAATAAGACTGTAATATTGTTAAAATTTAAAATTATTAAATTCTTCTAAAAAGATAATAAATTGTTGCGTATATACGAAACAATGAACGTTAGTTTAAGTATATAAGTTTTGATTTGACACATTTTTTTTCTCTGTATCTATCACATTTCTGAAAATTCCTGAAAACTATATTTATAGAAAATTATATTTAAAAATAAAATCATATAATATAATTATTTTATTATAATATTGCTTTATGATTTGTAATTCACGATGAAATTCAAATTTTACTTTATATGTTATATTCTAGGATTCTGTTGAATTTTGTCGTGAATTATACATAGATTGTCTAAAAGGCGAGTTTAAACAGTAAATATAAATATTGTTTCTGAACTTTTCTTATATTTAAGGAGGTGGGATTTTATATAAAATCGGAGAGAAAGCGAACAACGAATTATTTAAAGCACTCAATAGTAATTCTTAATTTTAATGACATTTTTCTTGAAAATTAATTATTAGTAATTGAATATAAAATTAATTAGACATTTTTCTTGCAAAATAATTTTCCGCAATACATAATATTTAATTTTCTAAAGTGACAACAGCAATCTCCAACAACTGTTAAAAATACGCCACTGAAATTAATCACGTCTTAGCTAAGTGAAACACATAGGGGCTCTCGTATTTTTCTCCTATCGAGAGTTGGCTACACAATTTCTTTCCATTGTTCCAGACATCTCCACGCCGGCTTGTAGCTACGTGAGATACAGCAGTTTGGAGGACGTGAGGCCGCAGGAGTTGGGCTTCCGCCAATTAGAATTCACGCCCACGGTCGTCTCAAAAATACGGTAAGGCTGCTCGCTTGCCTGCTTGTTCGCGTTCCTATAATCACGCCATTGTTAACTCGCTATTAAGAGGGAGGCGGACGCGCCGAGTCGAGTTGTCAAGACGGCTCCCTTTTAGAGGGCTCGAATTTAATTATGCCGGCTCGGTAACCTCTCAGGCAACGGAATGAATTTTCTAATTAGCAATGCGGCTGCTGTACCTACCCTACCTGCCTTTTGCACGCGTAAGGAAAATTTACGTAGCAGCGCAGTTGGCCAAACTCACTTCGACGGCCTGTTTTGCATACAGCGTAAACTAATTACATTTGGTAATCGAACGATCGATCAATCAATCGCGAAATTTCATAGCTGAAAGAACGGAAATGCAATCGCGAAATGTAAAATAAAATTGATTTATCGATTACGGTTGAACCGGAGAGAAAATTTTTCCACGCCGAGAGGACAGTTTTCGAGTGCCTGAGATAAATTTAAAAAATTTTAAAATCTAGTTACCACGTGTGCGTAAGGTTCTTATTTATCACCGTCCATTTACCCAATTATACAACTCGATATTTAATATATTTTATTAATATATTTTATTATTCTCGTTTGTAAGAATGCGATCGGAAATAATAATACACCCACGCATAAAATTCCTCCTGGATATTTTGCCGTTAAAATTATCGGCGAAAAATTTATCAATAAAATATTTTTATTGCATTTCCGATGTAACTCTGGAAATAAATAAGGAATTATTTTTATACGATGCAACGCGCGTCACGATATATATATATATATATATATATATATATATATATATATATACGCCCACGTATATTTTAATTAGATCGACGACACGTGAAGCTCGGCGATGTGTTAGCTACGTTCGATATCAATTAACGACTAATTATAGTGCGATATTTGCGAGGCTGGAATCAACGCGTCCTCGCCAGTGACACTCTTCAGCATGGATGAACTCGAGTATAAATACTTTATGATGCATCGTGAATGACGCTAGAAGACGTTTTATTATTATTAGTGTTATATACGCGTCGTTGTTATTATGTCATAATCACATTTCCGGCAGAGTTTGCGGGAGAGCGACCGGTATGAATTACAAATATTTGCCGGTGACTTCAAGTATCGATTTTGAAATGCTGATTACACGGTGAAAGAAGGACTGGCGGGGGACGAGGAGGAAGGGGGTAGGGGGAGGGAGAGAGGAGGACGGATAAAATTGATTCGTGGGCAAACAAGCGGTGGACGCAGCGAGATAGAAAAATCGTATTGACCGGTCAAATAATTCACCGCGCAATGGAATTTCCTCTCTCCAACGTTATTTAAACAACGCAAATGTTTGGCTATTTCGCAAGGATGCATATTTAATTAGAGTGCCTAGGCGCCATTTTAACGTGTGGCGAACTTTGTAGACCCTATAAAATATTTTGAGGATTTGCAGTGATGGTTAAGCGTGAATGTTTCTAAATTGGCCATAATTCGCAAAAATGATCAGACGAGTGTTTTTCGGGGAATCTTTAAAAAGATTTTAAAAGTCTTTTCGATACTTTGTTTTCGGAATTTCTTAAACGCTTTTCAACATTCCTTTAAAACTTTAGAAAATTCTTTTCTAAAGATCTCGGAAATTTTCAAAGATCTTTGGGATTTTTGAATAATGCTGGAAATTGTTGCAATTTTCGAATTTTTATATCTTACGATGCGCCAACAAGTTGGAATCTTGAAGGGTATTTTAATATAAAGTAAAAGTAAAAGTATAAATGTAAAAATATAAAATAATATTAATATAAATATATAATAATTATATTAAATTATATTAATATAAAAATATAATAAAAATATAATAAAGAAATGTTATAATAAAAATATTATAATAATAATATTTTAAGAAATATTATAATATTTAATTAATAATATTTTAGAAATATAAAGTATAATAATATAAAAATGTAAGTATAAAAATATAAAATATAATAAAGAAATATTCAATATGAAGTATAAAATATGATGTAAAAAATATTGAATTTAAATACGAAAATTGTTAAAATAAAGGTGATTTCCGCAGTTCTTGAAGTCTGAAAATTTACATTTCACGACTTCATTTCGTTAAATGGGATACTTTCTTTTAAATGCGCAAAGCCGCGGCTCGAATTAACCTTTTCATCGAACTGAACGTCATCGGTGCTTAGATTTCCGGAAACGAGCCGCAATGTTCGAGCGCCTCGATACATAGTAGAACGAGATAGAAAGTTGGACGATATCACGGAAGTTGAAGCGATTCAGGAATCCAAGTTTAAACAGCCCACTGTTATTATGCGTCGAAGCTTGCAAGAATCGATTCCGAGCAGTCGCTTAATCCACCGTCGTTCTATTGAAACAAATTTAATTGCAAAGCGTATCAATATGTTTTCTCGTACCTTAAGCGTCTGCGATTCTCTTAAGATCCTCGAGATACAAAAACGCGAATGAAAAAGATATCTTTCTCTTTTTAGAACTAGACTCCGAGCCATCAGTCTAGATCAGACTGATTTTACGAGGGTGGTTTGAAAAATCCGTGCAAAGTCAGAGAGATGGTACTGGGGTGTATCGAGATTATTTTTAGTTAGTAGCATCTCTTAGAAGAACACACACCAAGTTTCAACCAGATCGGTCTACTTCTCTGTGTTTGGCATTCGTTTGAATCGAGGAAGTCGAGTAATTTCCAAAAAATGGATGAAAGAAAATTTGGCCGCAAAATTGATGGATTTAAGGTTCCAACTCGTTCCGCATCCCTCCTGTTCTCCAGATTTGACTTCCTCGGACTGCTACTTGTTCTTCAATATGAAAAAATGGCGGAAAGATTTTACTCAAACGAGGAGGTGATTGCGGAAACGAATGCCTATTTTGCAAAGTTGAACCAATCCTATTATTCGGAAGGGATCAACAAACTGGAGCAGCGTTGGACGAAGTGTATAAGCCTAAAAGGAGAAAAATAAAAAAGGTGTATTCCGAAAAATGAAGTAGCTTTCATTTTTGCACGGACTTTTCAAACCACCCTCGTATAAGGCTCCCTTAAATCTCCCTTGAAAACGATATTTCAAATCCGAGATAAAGAGTCGCAAAAAACCACGCAAACACCTCGGTCGATCGGCTCGATATCTCGTAGTTATAGCGAACCGAAAAGCCAGTAGCGAAGGTGGAGTATCGCGTCGTATGCATTCATGCGCGGTTCGTCCTGATACAAAGGGACGTGTCCTGTATAACGCGACGTGCAGGCACACATCCAACTACTCTTTCTCTCTCCCTCTCTCCCTCTATCTCGCTTCTGTCTATCTCTCCAGCCATGGAGCAGCGATAATTTAGTTATCGAGACGATCGATAACGTTGCGGCCGGGAAGGCCACTGATGTGGCTTGATTAACGAAAATTCTCCTTACGATGGCGATCGTCCCCTCTATTCGAGCGTTCGTCCACCGATGTTTACGCGGCCACCCCCGCTGTGAACGAAATTAACCGGCGTGACATAATTAAAGGAAGCAGGATCCCTTTTTCCGCTTCACGTGGAGAACAATTATTGCGTTTTTTTCAACATGGCTTTTCTTGGTCAGCTTATTTTTGTATTTGCAGAGAATCTGGGTATAACTGAACAATAATAATAATATCTAGAAAAATATTGAATAAAAGCTAAGTTTTTTTAGAAGAGAAAGAGAGAGAAAAACTCTCTGAGAAATTTATAAAAAAAAGACTCGAGAAACTTTGAGGGAACGAGAAGACACTCTCTGCAAAAAAAAAAGGGGGGAAAAAAATAGTCGGAGTTTCTCGGCCTCTTGAACGCGTCTCGCTACAGACAGCTCCAGGGGAGGATCTTTGCATTCTTGGAGAGCAAATCCCGCGGGAGATGAAGTATCCGCCGGGTGTCCCGCCTCAAGATTTCACGAGGGCGGACGGTGAGCGGAATGTCGAACGACCGTCTCTCACCCTCGTCGGGCGAAAATAATCGCTCGGGCCAAGTGCCAGGCGTCGAATGTCGCCGAGTCACCGTTCCCTCGAATTCGCCGCCGAAGGGAGGATCTCGGACTGTTTTAAACGACAATCGCATTAGTACGGGACGGCGGACTGATTGCCGCCGACTTTCTCGCCCGCTCTTTGATAGTTCCGCGCGCCAAGTTTTGGCCGCGAAGCTCCGTCAAAGCCACCGGAACTCCGCGTAAACTCGTTCATCCGCTCGCGAAACTTTCCCGGGAAACGTCGCTGTCATCGTGCCAAATCGGTTGCCGGTGGATAAGTATCGAGAAATCGCGATCCTCCGCGGGATTGACTCGAAAGATTGCTCGTTTTGAGTTTTAGCAATAATGACGAGTCGATGAGAGATGAACTTCATCTTGGCTTTACCTTGGTGACCTGAAGAGAAGAGAATTATGGAGATTTTCGTAAAAATTGGACATGACATCCTTTAACAAACAATGGAAATTATTTTTCCGCTTTTTATTAATGAAACAAATAACGATAATTATATGCTTGAAACCTTTCTTGATTAATAAGAAATTAATGTGCAAAAAATGATATCGAACTACGTTATAGTTATCGAAAATATCCGTTACAATCAATCCGAGCTGAAACGCATATCGTAGGTTGGCAGCAGTCGGGAATAAAAATAGAAATTTTTGAGCGAAAAAGATTCCCAGTACTTTGGAAAACATAATCCTTCCTTTCCTACGAAGATTCCTTAAGAAGCAATTTATTCCGTTTCCAAAGGAACGAGAGGATCCTAGAAGGGTCAGACATTTAAATTAAGTGGCTTCCTTTCGAAATTAGATCAGGGAGAATGTTCGCCGCGTGTTTTTCGCCGCCACGTCTTGACCGGAATATTTCACCCAGATCGATGATTAAAGTCGACGATCGAATAATAAGATTGCTATCAGATCGTACGATTATGAAAAATAAACGGAGAAAAGATTTGGCGAGCGAGAGCGGAATATATAAGTTGCCTAAGGTTTATTTAAGACACGATGTATTTAACAATGAATTTTT